TCTTTTAGAATATTTTGCTGAGTTTACACACCTATAATATTCAAATAACGGAACTTAGAAAAAAAGGGGTATACAGATGAATGTCCATTTTGTATCTGTGTATTCACAGTGGATGGGATAGATATATAGTTAGATTCTCTTAATGAATAGAATGATTTTTTCTAATGGTGTTTGTAAATAGGATATCAAGTCCACATCTGGTACAGCAATTAACCACTAAGAAGAATGTATGCAGTGTGTTGCTTATTGAATCTGTCCTATCGATTTGGTTTGGAACTGTCTCATTGCTGTTTATCAATAAAATTGTGGAAAAAAGAAGATAAAAATATGCAGTGCATTAATTAAAGAAACTGTCATATTAAAAAAATATCAGGGCCAGGGAGATGGCTCAGTGGAATAAGCGCTTCCCTGGCAAGTGCAAGGGTCTGAGTTCAATCCCTGGTTCTGAAAAAAAAAAAATATATATATATATATGCATTGTATCACAATAAGAACATACTTCAAGTTGTTGAAAACTAGTTCTAAAAGCTCCTGAAGCTAGAACGTGTTTTTTTATGGGATCAACTGTCGTACTAATATACGAGGTGGCCCTCGGTTTTCCTTTTCTCCATTCTTTTTCCTTTATGCTTGGTTTTAACTTGAATGCCTTGTTCTCCATAGATAACTTCATTCAACCTTGCATAACAGATATGGCTCACTTCATATACTTACAGTATCTTTCTGGTTCTAGAGAACATTAAAATTTTCTATTCCTGATTCAGATCTTCAAGTTTGATGGCCCACTGTGGAAATGAGGAAATTTACAAAGCACTGTAGCTTTTACTACTGAGTTTAAGTGGCCTAGTATATTAAATGAGATAACCCATCTCTTTATAAGGAAATGTGCCTAATTTTAAATCATCCCAGACTTGGCAGTCAAATAAATAACAAGCAGCAGTATTTATAGAGCACCTATGAATGCTAGGTGCTATGACCAGGGATTATTATGAAGTCCATTTTGCAAATCTGGAAGCCTAGAATTAAAGGTGGTCATGGCCAGCAAGCGGCAGAGCCAGACTTCAAACAAGGGTCTGATTCCAGAGTCTGGATTTTCATTGTGCTGTCAAATAAGGATAGAGTTTATGCTGTCTAACTGTTGGATGATTGGCACATGACTTTTCTTAACTTGTATATTTCCCAAAGTTTGTATAAGAATAAAAATTAATAACATTTTACATATAAAAGAGGAAACTAGATTAGATTATAAATTCTATGAAAACATATTTAGTTCTATAAATACATATAGATATATAGAACTAAGTATATCTGCAGTAAAATATATATATTCCCATTTCACTTTTTTCTGCATGATATTTCCTCCTGTTATGCTGTTTCTAAGTTAGAAATAATTATTCTAATGCTTCTCATTTTTCATAAGTATCATTTTCATGTTTTACATTTTAGTGCTTGTTCACATAATTTTGCTTGTTCTGCATAACTGAGCTAAATTCTTCCTACTTGCTCATTTAGAAATGAGTGAACAGCTGCTAAGTTTCTTGATGACTGTTTATTCTAAATTTTAGTTCAGGGCAGTTTAAAAACCCACTTTAATTTTTAATAAACAGAATTAAAGCTTAAAAATTTCACTTAATTGAGAATCAAAGTTCAGAAAACATTTTTGCACAGTCTGCCCTCTGTTGGACATGCCATTACAATGTGACTTACTCGTTCTGCCAGGTGTATGTGTTACTAACAATAAACAAATGTTTCAAAAACCCATTCAAAATTTCTGAAGGAAAATGAAACCAGACAATTTCCTTTATTTTTTAATGTATTAACATTGCTTATGGGCTTACTTTCTACAACTTCAGTTAGAACATGTATCTTCTCTAAGGACTACAAGAACAGTTATGAAGACTATTGATTTCTTCCTTAGACTGAAGATGGGAAACTAATCATTGAAGGAATGCTGGACATTTTTTGGGGAGTAAAACGGCCTATACAGCTGAAGATACAAGACGACAAGCAGATCTCTTCTTATACTGTACAGAAGTTCCCAGATGCTTTTTCCACCAAAGGGTAAATTATCTTCATGCTTTTAATTCTTTTGATGGTCTTCATATTTCCTTTTATTCCATGTGCTTTTAGAGAGGAAAGCTATGTTTGTTTGAATATCTATCTATCTATCTATCTATCTATCTATCTATCTATCTATCATCTATCTATCTATCTATCTATCGATACACAGCTTCATATAACCCTCCAGCAGCCCCATGAATTAGGTTTCAAAACCCCTGACTCTTCAAGGCCAGGTGATTTATGACAGGTACTGTGCAGCAGAACAACTCTGAACCTTTGTTTTCTGAGATCTGCAGCCTGTGCTCTCTGCTCCTCTGCTATACTTTTCCTGGAAGTTTGCACTCCTTACCTGGAAGAGACAAACTGTAGAGGCAAAACTGAATTAGCTGTGACCTGATTTAAAAAAAAAGTAAATTTAAATTTCCCCTCTTCTTGAAACCAAGGGCTATCCCTACTTCTGGAAGAGAGGCATCATTAAGCTCCATCTGATGGTCGTGCTCTTTTTTGAGAGAGCAGAGCAGAGCAGAGCACGTTTGAATTGAAGTGCACAGAACAGCTCCCTGTCTAGGTTATGCAGCTGTCCATGATATCCAAGTTGAGTGTTTTAAATCATCCCTTAACAATTTTCAGAAAAATGTCCACAATATCCAAGTTGAGTATTTTAAATTTTCCCTTAACAATTTTCAGAAAAATTAGTAAATATTTGTAGCAAAAATATTTATAAAACTTCTTTTTCTTTTTCTTTCTTCCTTGTTGATCCTTATCTTTCTAGAAATCTCCATTATGTACATGTTTTGAGATACTCAACCTTCTACATTCTGCCTTCTGTCTGTTACTGGATGAGTTCAGGTTCTGTAAGAGAATGGATGGAGACAGAGCAGTCCAATCAGATCTCTAAGGACACATAAGGAAAGCAAGTTATTACCTTGATGGGAATCTGCACACCCAATCTCAATTGCTGTCTCAGCATGCCACACCCCACCCCACACCACCAGGGCATGCTGAGACAGCAATTGAGATTGGGCGTGGTGTTGCACGACTGTAATCTCAGCTCTTGGGAGGCTGTAAACAGGTGGATCACTATGAGTGTGATCTAGTAGTGAGACACTGAACATCCTGTAGACCCTTCCCTAAAATACAAAAGAAAAAAAAAAACCAAAACCAAAAGAAAAACCCTCACTTATTATACATACACACAGACATACAGAGAAACAGATATGCAACCCCCACACACAAACATGATGAAATTTCGTGTGAAAATTATTCAGCAGTTCTTTTTTTTTGACACACATAGTATGATTTCAATATAGAATAGCCAAATTCATAGAGACAAGAAGAAGAATACAGTTTACCATGAGCTGGGAGGAGCAGGGAGTTAGTGCTTCGTTAGTAGAGTTTCATTTTGGAATGATGGAGATGTTCTGGAGACGGATGGTGTGATATTTTCAAAACAATATGTCTCAGTTACTTTTCTTTCATTGCTGGGATAAAAATACTCAGCACCCAAATTAGCTCACAGTGGAGGTTTCAGTCCATACTCTGCTGGCTCCAAGGCAGCCTGGCACATGGTACTCAGCAGTTCTTGGTGAGGGTCAGCTGAATGTTTAGGCAAGACAGTACAATGTAATTAGGAATGGCTTTCCCTAACCTCTTTTTCTCTAATGGAATGTATAGTCATCTAAGGTACTATTTACATCAATCCAGTCCTAGACATCTTCATTCTGGTTACAACCTTAAAATGACTCATTTAAGTTCTTAGCTTCTATTAAGTTGTATAAAGAAACTGACTATATCCTCATGGTAACCCTCTCCATGCTCTTTTCCCCATACTTTTTCCAGCCATGGGAAGAATTTAACATCTCTCTTGCCTCCAGAGGGGATGGTGTTGTCAAAGGTAGAGACAGTGCATATTCCAGGGCAGGAGGGCTGAGCCATGTGTCTTTCAGATCACTCTTTGAAAGAATTATTAGTCCTGTAATGCTGGTTTTTAAAATTATGTTAGAAGTGACTGAGGAGGTATCAGCTGAATGGGCTTGTAGAAGCTTAAAAATTCATCAGTTCACTTGAGCTAAAACCCCTTGTAATTCTTTGCTGAGATGACTCTGTACATAGCATTTTGATCTCTGATATTGACACTAAATGTTCTTTCTTTCTCTCTCTCTCTCTCTCTCTCTCTCTCTCTCTCTCTCTCTCTCTTTCTTTCTCCTTCTTTTTCTTTCTTTCTTTTTTTTTTTGGTGGAACCAGGGATTGAACTCAGGCCCTTGCACTTGCCAGGCAAGTGCTTATTCTATTGAGCCATCTCTCTATTCCCCTCCCCCATGTTTTCTTTTAGGAACTTCTTTTATTTAAAAAAAAAAAAAAAAAGGAGGAAAATCCCAGCTACACTGGGACTATTTTTCTTGCACTATTATTTTTTTTTTAATCTTTATGTCTAATATCTTTCTAAAATCAGCATTGTCATACTTGGGACAAATGTTATGTTTCAGATCTGAATTGGCCCCCACAGCCTCATGTGGAAGATGATTGGGTCAGGCAGGTGATTTGCAGTGAAGAGGTGGGGTCTGGTCAGAAGCAGTGGGCAGTGGCACAACCCAGAAGGGTATTTCTCCCTTCTTGAGTCCTCCCTGGACTGTCTACTTCCCTGCTGCCATGAGGTAAGCAGCTGCTCTGCCACCTGCTGCCCTGCCTTGGAGCCAGCTGGCTGTGGACTGAAACCTCTGCAAACTGTGAGCCCAAATGAACCTTTCCTCTTATAAGCTATAGGTGGTAGGTATTTTATCTCAGTGACAAACTGATTAAGACAAGTCATGGGAGAATGAGATCAAGCATAGTAACTACCCAGATACACATTTCAAGAACTTCAGGACCACTTTTTTTTTTTTTTTTTTTTTTTTTTTTGGCGGAACTGGGGATTGAACTCAGGCCCTTGCGCTTTCCAGGGAAGCGCTTATTCCACTGAGCCATCTCCCCGGCCCCAGACCACCTTTTCTTATAATGTGTGTAGGCAAGTGACTGCACACTATTTGTCTGCCAAATTTTCACCTCTGTTTTGTTTTACAAATCATTAGAATCCTTCTTAGGGTTGAAATTTGCAAATGGTATACATCCTGAGGTTTGGTCAGACCAACACAGTCTTGTATTTGATATTAAAGTTCCAACCGATTCTCCCTTGAAAACTCTTGTAACTGCCCTTGAGCCTAGTAATGTCCAAAACAGTACAGGGTAGCACGCACATCAGAGCATCCAGAGCTCAAAAGTAGTCTTCTCAGCTGTGGGTAGCATAGGGGATCAGACAAGAAATGGTCTAAGCTTTCTAGATCATTTCTGCTTGTGAGCAACACAAACTGTAGGAAACTGTAAGAAACTTAGGAAGGTGTCTGTCTAGTTTCCTAGAGTCACCAAGAATTGTGTTGCACATCCATGCTCCACTTGCGGCAATGCTCATATTGCCCATAAATAGTATTATGGTCTTTGCCTGTTTCATTTCTGCTTGTCATTGATCTTCTGTCTTTTCTGTCATTGCTAATTCTCTCTTTTTATCATTAAAACTTGTCCTTTTTGGTTACCAGCTATGGAGTATGGTAATATTCTTATATATCAAAAGAATAATTTGGGTCTGAGGAGTGCTTTGAGTTAAGCCATTATATGCAGTTCTTGGAGTTTATGATATTTATTTTAGTTGGATAGCAGAGCTTGCTGGAAAATTTCTTAGACAACATAATCCTAATAGATTTGTTATTTCTTATGGCAATTGTGAGAAACAAATGATGTAATAGCTATAAAAGAGTTCATGATATAATAGCTATAAAAGATCAAGGGAAAAAGATGTTTTTTTTTCAAATTCACTACTTAGTATTAATAAACATTTTTTAACACTAATGCCATTCAAGTACAATTAATACCAAAAATTCCTATGAATAACTTTTTTGGTCATAAAACACTTCATACAGAAGAGACCTAGTGGGACTGACTGTTCCCATAAATAATAAACACCCATGTGTTAAGAGAGAGCCAGGAGTAAGGAGGACCCCCAGTGGGCTCATCCTGAAATGGATACAGGTGATGGTCATTACTGTCATGACAACAAGGATGAGAATATTGTGATAATTTTAAAATGCATACTGAGTCTTTACTATATCCAGAGCACAGTCTGAAGATTTTTTACATAAATTATTTCATTTAATCCTTACAACAGCCCTAGCTTATCTCGTTGTCAGTTCTGTTTTACATGGACACCAAAGCCAAGGAAGGATAAGTAACTCCTTTCAGGCTAGGTAAATAGAATAAAAATGAATATTGCCCTGCTGTAAACATAAGCTATTGTCTGGTTTCATTTATTCTACACCCTACAATGTGTTTACAATTGCTAGAATTTTTTATGAAATCACAATTTTGTAGTGCAGAAATTTCTCTTACATTTTCTTATTTTAGAAATTTCATTCATTGGGGACTTTTAAAACAGTCACAAAATTAATAATAAAATAAAATAGTCACAGCCTCTATTTTATATTTATTTAAATGTATTTGGTTCAGTGTCTCACTATGCAGCCCAGATTCATAATGATACTCCTGTTTTCAGCCTCCCCAGCGCTGGGATTACAGGTATACGCCAGCATTCCTGGTCTCGGTGGCTGGTTCAGCATACCCAGGGGTGGGGCCAGCATGGCATGTGGTGCAGGGGATCAAGCCTGATCTCTGTGCTTGCCTAAGCAGGCACTTAGTCCACTGAGCTATCTCACTGGCCCATAGCATCTATTGTAGGGTCTAAAATTTAGTAATTTTTCCAACCATATGTACTCATCACACATTAGTGGATCAAATACTTACTACTAAACTCCGGATATTGTGTGATATTTTTGTAACAGTGGATCATATTGGCTCCCTCCAATTGATTCACACATGCATTTTTATTTTTTAAA